ATTTAAATATTTTTCTGGACAAATTGAGATGAAGCAATACTTCTGTACAGAAAGATTAATGAGGGTTTTATATATATATTTGGAAGACTCTGAAACCTAATTAGCATTCACCACTATAATTCTTTCAGACTTCTTTGAGAGATGTGTTTTAGCAAAAATAAGTCTCAAGTTTGACCAAGAAGCTATTTCTTCCTGATGGGGGGAAGAGCTGCTTTATAATTTTCTAAAATAAATGTGCTCTTGAGAAAATCAGGTATTTGTTACTATAAAATGTTGGGTGTATACCTAGTTGCATCGCAGAAAAACTACTGTGTGTGGGGGTGGAGGGGAAGCCTATAATTAATGACTATATGAGTCATGTAGTCATTAGCCATATGGGATATAGTCATATAGCTATATGTGGGATTATGTGGGATTATAGACTGGCACTATTCTCAAGTTGTATTTTGCAGTTCAAGACTGTTATAAAACAAAATTATGGAAATATGTCAAAATAATCATTAATGTTTTAAAAATTAGCCACACAAAAATATTTATATTTTATTATAGCAAAGATTAAATGGAATTTTGAGAGAGAAAAAAATAACAACATTTTTATTCTCTCATGTATTCATCTAAATACATCCCTTTCATCTTTCCTAGGCTTTGCTAGAGGTGGTTAACGACCTCTTTGAGGAACAGACTGACCTGGAGAAAATTGTCAAGAAAATAATGCACCGGGCCCAAACTCTGCTGAAATGCGAGCGCTGTTCTGTTTTACTCCTGGAGGACATCGAGTCACCAGTAAGCCATCTTTTTTCTGTCATGTAGAATTGGAGACTGCGGGAATGCAATAAAATTTAGTTTGTTTGTAAGTAAGTGTGTGAAATGGGGACTGGAACCACCCTTCTCATGACTCTTCTAATTATGGGGTGACTTTTTGTACAATTGAAGTCTTTTATTTTTTACATGCGTTTTCAGTCTTGTATTGCTGTCACCTTAGAAACACAGACTGTTACGCTGATAGGGACCTTAGTGACATGTATATCTCAGTCCCACGTGTTTACAGGGAACTAAGGGATGAATGGTTGGCCTAATCTCACAGAGCTGAATAGAAGACAAGCTCAGGTGCTGGTCTGGCTTCACATTCACCCAGCGAGGCCCCGAGTACTGATGGGCATGGATTGCAGTCCAGACAATGCTCCAAGGTCCTTTTACTGAGAGGAGGGAGCAAACTAACACTGGAGAAGCAGTGCCCTTGGCTCTTGGAGCCCACACAGTTGGGACTGAGCTGAGAGGGGTGACCAGCCTCAGGTGGCCTGGGCGGTGCAGCAGAGGTTTGTCTTGTTGCTTCTGGCCTGGGAAAAAGGCTCTTTGCCTGCTGCCTTGGACCTCTGGACACTTGCACAGAACGCCCAGTCAGATGGAGGAGGCTCATTTCTCCTTCACTGCAGGGGCTCCTGTTACTCCAAAGACCAGCATCAAGCTAGGTCAAGGGCTAAGGCTGCCGCACCTCAGCTTTCAGGTTCTGTGAAGGCCTGTGGCTCTTTAGGGGAAATCTGCTGGGTAAATACACAACAATATTGAAAATAATGATCATCATCAATATACCTTCCTGAAAGTTAAATGTCTAACCCCTCAGCAGCAATTTAATATCTTTGCTGAAAACTCCCTTCAAAGACCAAGAATTGTCTAGCAATTCTGTTTTCATACCTCCGAGAATGCTACTTTACTGTACTTAACCTAGACAAGGTTATTGTCTTTTCCTTTCAGTTTGTGTTTCACAAAGAAAGAAACCTTGAGACAAATTTTGGAGATTTAATTAGTATTGTAAAACTTACAACATTATGTTTTTAAAATTCACATATGTTTAAAATGTTTAGGAATGTTCCCCCATATTATAGCAGAGTTGGGTTTTTTCTATTTCAGCAGGTGTGGTTTATACCAACAGTTGTCTTGCAAGTATCCTATGACGTGTAAAACTCAGTGGAACCTTGGTAGACACACACACACCCCAGCCCATATTTATGGAGTGCTTCTGGTTGCTTTGTGAAGCACTTGAGTTTGTTGAATCCTCACTGCATCCTGATGAGATAGATATGATCATCACCCTCATTTTATAGATGAGAATATAAGGCTTACACAGTTGAATGACTTGCTAGAGTCTCCTGTCCCCTGACTCTAAGCCCCTGAAAAGAGTGGGAAGAGGTGGGTTCTCCTTGGTGCCTGGCAGGCTGTGAGAGCTCTCACTAAGCAAAGGCAGGAAGGAGTGGGATTCCTTGAGTCACTTTTAAGTCCCTGTGAGGGCAAGTGGCTGAGGGGCCAGGTAAAATCTGGACCAGGACAAGCTCACTGTTTGCTAGTTCAGTTATAAACAGACATGGAAGTAATTTAAAACAGCTCAAGGTGGTCATTCTTGCCAGTCTTCTAACATGGATGGCCCGGCCGGCATGGCTTAGTGGTTGGGTGTTGACCTATGAACCAGGAGGTCATGTTCGATTCTTGGTCAGGGCACATGCCCGGGTTGCGGGCTCAATCCCCAGTGGGAGGAGTTTGGGAGGCAGCTGATCGATGATTCTCTCTAATCATTGATGTTTTTATGTCTTTCTCCCTCTCCCTTCCTCTCTGAAATCAATAAAAACATGTTTAACACGGATGAGTTATACTGTGGTCTTGCTCTTTCCCAAATCAAAGAAAATTGATGACAGAAATTGATATGGAAGGTGCTGGAGGCAATAGTAGCAGTGACAGCAGTAGCTTTATGCTACAGAGTGTGGAGGGGGTCAAAAACACTAGATTAGATAGTATAAGCATAAAGGTGTTGGTATATTACCGCAAGTTCAAAAGACCTTTTAACTCTCACAGTTGAACATTCTGACTGCAGTTGTGGGGATCAGAGCAGAAATTCTGGACCATTCCCCATCATTTCTGCTCTTTGTCCCCCCACCCCCACACCCTGTCCTCAACATGAGGATGAACTCTTCTTTTTCATCCAGAGGGTCAGGGTCTGGGGATAAAAGTGAGCTATATGCACAAAGAGGAGACTAATCTGCTCAGTCCCTTTTTAGAAGCTGTGGAGGTATTTTGCCAAGGTTGCTGCTTGGACTTCAAAGATAATCAAAAAGCATGGCACCCAGACAAAAGGATCAAGTCACCTAGCGGAAGGAATGTATTCTGGTGTCAGACTTCCGTGTACCATTCTCCAGTGCTAAGAGAAAATGTAGCAATAGCTACAAAGTCCTCAGGGAAAGAAAATGTGACCCCACAATTTTAAATCCAATCAATTTACATTCAATTATGTAAGCCACAGATAGACATTTTTAAATTACAAGAAAGAGTTCAGCAAATATAGTTCCAAGCTGTCCTTCCGAAAAATATGAGAGATTGAAATCCAGCCAAGCAAGTGATGAAGAAGACATAATAAATGAGACTAGTATTGAGTACTGAATGCATCTAGAACCAAGGTTAAAAATGATGGGTCATATACTTGTAGAAACAAATGTAAACTTATGTTATAAACCATTACAATTGTCCTGGCTCCCCATGTCCCCCAAGTGCCACAGGGGCAACAGATGCCCACACATGCAGTGGTTTGCATTTCCGAAGAGGAATATTGTGCTTGGAGAATCCACCTCTTTTCCATAGAGTGGTATCAAGCCTGTTGTGTGGAGAGAGATGTTACCTCATCTCTCAAGTTTGTCCACTATAAACACAATCCTGTGAAAGGAACCAGATAGAGAGAGATCGGGGCCTTGCAGTGTAGGCACAACAGGAAGACTGTGCATTCAGGGCTCATGTGCCTCTCCCAACAGGTACCTTGGTTACATGGAGTATTTTTATTTCAATGTGATACATTTATCAATCTTCCTTTTTGATTTGTGCTTTATGGTTGTTGTCCAGTTTTTTGTTTTGTTTTTATTTATTTTTTTAAAATAACAGCTTTACTTCCATGTTAGAATGACTTTCTCTTATATTTTCCTTAACCCATCTGGTATTTATGGTCTTCTTTATCCATATAGAATTTATTTTTTGTATAGTGTAAAGCTGTGTGTGTGTGTGTGTATATATATAGTCTCAGAACTGTTTTCCCCCCACTTTGTAATGCCACTTTTATATTACATCAAGTTTCCATATATGCCTGAGTCTGTTTTTGAGCTCTCTATTTTGTCCCACTGGTTTATGGGTCTTTTTCTGCACCAGTATCAAAATGTCTAAATTTCTATAATTTTAGAATACTCTTGCTATCTGATAGGGCAAGTCCTCAATGTTGTTCTCCTTTAAAACTGGCTTGCCAGGAGAGAACCTAGACACAGAACCTAGCGAGAGAACCTGGCTGAAGAACCCAAAGACAGAACCTAGAGACAGAACCTAGCGAGAGAACCTGGCTGAAGAACAAGAGACAGGTCTCAGAACTGTTTTCCCCCCACTTTGTAATGCCACTTTTATATTACATCAAGTTTCCATATATGCCTGAGTCTGTTTTTGAGCTCTCTATTTTGTCCCACTGGTTTATGGGTCTTTTTCTGCACCAGTATCAAAATGTCTAAATTTCTATAATTTTAGAATACTCTTGCTATCTGATAGGGCAAGTCCTCAATGTTGTTCTCCTTTAAAATTGGCTTGCCAATTTTTGACTTGTTGCTCTTCCATACAGATTTGAAGAGCAGCTTATCATTTTCCTTGAAAAACTGTGTAGAGATTTTGATTGAAATTGCTTTAATTCATAGATCAATTTGGGGGATTTCTGCAAGTAATAGAATATACAAGGGAAAAGGGCTTAACAAGATTTGTATCTTGTGTAACAAGAAGTCTGCAGGAGGTGGTCCTGGGGATTGTGCAGCAGCCAGATGATATAATCAAGAACCCAGGCTCCGTCATTTCCCTGTGTTTGTCTCAGTGGTCCGCCTTCACCAGCTGGCTCTTACTCTCACCATCCAGGAGGCTGGCGCAGCTCCAGGCACCATGTCATTAGATAACTATGTATCAGGAGAAGAAGAAAGGGAAACTTCGTTTCATATGTTTTTCTTTTAATCAGGAAGGAAAGTGGTTTCCAAAAGAGGCTTTTCCCATTGACTTTCCATGACCCATTAGTCAAGAACAAAATGATGTTGTTCAAATCATTTATAGTCTTAATAGTGTTGTTTCTCATCTGTCATTCTCTGATAGAGGTTTGTTCAAATCATCAGCCTGAGATTTGTCTATGTCATCTTGTCAAATTCTGTAGGTTGTTGATTTAGTTATCTATGTTAATATTAATGTGCATGTGTTTTTAAATTTGGGATTGCAGTTTATTTTTATGGGAAACTGTTTTTGTTTGTGCCATTGTTTTCTTTCATTCTTTCCTGCACTCTTCCCTCCCTGTCTAGTAGTTTGCACAGTTCCGTGGCCCCTAGTCAAGAACCAGGTCTACTATGGGTGGCTTGGGTCTCCTGCTATGTGATAATATTACACTCAACCAGAGGCAGTTTGGTTCAGTTTCTGGAGGTAAAGCTGAATCATCTGTCTCCAAGGAACACTTTCAGACCCCAGACTCCAGTAGGAGCTGACATTCCAACCATTGCTGCCTGACTTTTTTCAGATTTGGCACACAGCAGGCCTGTCTCCAGGCTTGTGTCTGAGAGATCTTTATTTCCCCCTCCTCTCTGGTTCCTCCTTTCACATCGCTTTTTTCTTTCCTTTAACTTCTAGATGTCTTTTTGGGTTTTCTCTTTCTGTATTTTATCAATCTTTGTTTTTGGAAGGGAACAGATGTGCCCAAGCATGAATTTATAGCACCATCTTTACTGGCATTACATACACTACTT